GAATGTAAAGAAAATATAAGAAAACTTCGAAATGACGAAATAATAAGCAAATCGCAGAAAACTTTATCGAATGATCGTGGTTTCAAAGTGGTTGGATCACTGCTTGCGAGAAATTGCACGTGAAATAACATTGTCAATGGCACAGAAAAACGAGATTTTCATCTTTGCAGCGATGAAAGCGACCGATCCCAGTCAAAAGATCCAGGACATCGACGAAATGTCGTCGTCCGAATACGATCAACTTCCCGACGAGGATAAGAAGATATATCTGGACGCGATTCTACCACGTAAAAGGGAGGAAGCATCGCGTAGGCGAGCTCGATTTATCGAAAGAATGATGAAACGTACAAAGAAAAAGGTTTGATCACTTGATCTATCGCAACCCATTAAGGATTAACCCTTAAGCTCTTATGAACCGTCTGTGTGATTAATTTTGGTTTGGTCCGATTTTCCTTACTGTATTATTTTATATTTTTATTTTGCATCTGTCGATATATTCGCTTGAAATTTTTTATTATTAATACGTTGATTAATTTTTATGTAGCATGTTGCAACAAAAGTACACTAAAACTATGTAAAAACATGTACGTAATATAATATACAGTAAAGGGACCATTATCGGGTCATTTACGTTAGTTAAAATTGCTTTTCTCTGATTTAACTCGGTTAAAATATCAATTTCATTAATCGAAAACGGATGACGAAACTTTCGTTTATTAATTAACAAGAATTTATCGATTAAAATAAAAAGTCCTCGAATAAGAAGCTCGTCTGAAACTGACGATTGAACGCCAGCGGCGGTTAAGTTAAATCCGGCGATCTGGAAATCCCTTGTCATTAGTTAGAAAGCGCCGAAGATAGCCTTCGAGATTCCCGACTTTCAGAACGTTTCTATTCGATTGTAAATTTATATGCCGGCTGTAAACTGTAACTGTTTTCGCAGGAGAATCGGAGCAACGTTTCGAGCTCGAAGACAATCAAGAGGAAGCGGGACGTAAAGTCGGAGAAGCACGCGACTAGTAATTCGCGGCCAGCTTCTAGCAAACTAGGAGCAAGCAAAGCAACGAAAAGTAGAGACAGCTCGAAACGAGGTGAATTTGCTGAGCTGGTTTGAAGAAGAACCACTCGCGATTTATAGCTATAGTGTGATGTTTATTTTGTAGGGAAGGAGGCTGTGCCGAGCGAGCTTAAAAAAATTATGACGGCTATGGATCAATATTACGCAGAACTATCGTCGATTGAGATGATGATTCGTAATTGGGATCCTATAAAAATGACGATGGTAATTATATCGGGTTCATGCGAATTTTCAAACGATATAATATACTATCTATTCAAAATTTTATAATCCAAGTAAATGAAGGCTCCTTGTTTTAAATTGAAAGTCACTTGTGCAGACATTTTTTTTTTTCGTGGATTTAAATGCATTTTTTTCAAAGACAGCTTTAGCTAAAACTAATTTTATGTTTAGTAATAAACTCTTCAGTACAAATGCATTTTGTATCTGAGTTTAATCCTTTGAATCGTTGAAAGTTTGTAAGTGTAATATTAATCAAAGAGTATACAATAAATTGACGATATTTGTGTGATATTATAATACGTAAATTAATTATTTCGAAGTACTTTAGAGTCTGTATAATCTTCAGATTATAACTCATTTTTATCTCACATGACGTACAGATTAAACACTCAAAGAGTTAAATTAATAGAGCACATGAAACAAAACATGAAATTTACACTTTTCACTATTCATTTTTAACTTCATTTATCAAAGCGTTGAAAATTACATTTATACAATCGTATTTAATTATTAATACCGAAATTCGATTTTAATTAGTTATCAACCAAAAACCATATCAGCTTCCTTTGATATCTAATATTTTTTTCTTCCTTAATTTCTCTTGAATTTCTTTTCTGATGCTGAAGATATTATTTTATTATTTTAGGGCACACCTCATACAACGAAATCAAGAACGACAAAAAGCGATGGATCCAGAGATGTAAGTCCTTCGGACGTTCGAAAGGTATAAAAGGATTTTACACAATACAGTAGATTCTTTCTTAGCAGACCACCCTCTGGCTGGATAAACGAATATCCGGTTAATTCAATTATTTATGAGTTGTAAATAGAAAGCTGCATATATGTATAGACACACATATAGAATTGTTCACGAAAGTGTTTGAACATTTATAAAGAACATTTTACAGATATATATGATATTATATGAAACATTTAAAAATTTAAACAACAAATTTGAAAATATAATATAGAAGGTCATATATAGTTATATTTTGTGGAGATCATAAAAATATTTGCCAATTACATATTATATTCAAAAGTCTTAATATTTACTAGAAGCCTGTGAATGATTTTCACATATGGTATGTAAGATCCAGCGATCCTTGGCAGGACGTAATGTATAATACAGTGGTTGTTCAAATGAGCGAAAATCTGCTAGCAAAATCTGCTCTTCGTAAGTTGAATGATAAATGATAACTCTTTGCTTCTTTCAATATGAAAAATGAACATACTTTTTCTAGCCGTCGAGATAATACCAGAGCCAGATCTTCGACCCAAAATTTATTCCGTCCTGGGACATAAAGATGTCGAAAAACGAGCTAAGAAAATTCTTGACGGTATATTTTAAATCTCACTATCACTATCAAGATCAAATCCATATTATTGATCCGTTCTTGATGCCCTCTGCTTTCATCAAATTTCTGATTGTTCACATTATCGATCCATTTCAATTACATTTTATTCTCACATCCTTAATGTCACGGTCTACTCTCAAATTTCTTATAATCATTGTCACTGTAGAATGTGACTAAAAATTATACAAATTTCTAGTTTTTTTTTTTTTT